CAGGCCCAAATGTCCCTCACTGCATGAAGGTCTGTGGAGGTCTTTCTGAAATGGTGGGGGAGATCTCTCCTACATCAGGTCAATGCATCTCCATATTGAGCCTGTTTAGCAGAGTGTTCTTGACTAACAAAGAAGTCAATGAGTGCCAGCACTGTCCTGTCAGCCGGTCTGCAAAGAGAAGGACCGATGGAAGCACCAAACGTCATCTCAGAGGAAGATTCTCCAGGATGGGGAATCACAAAGAAATAAATTTTGGTAAAGTTGTAAACAACTGAAGAGAGGCACATTTCTGTAATGGAAAGTGCTGAATGAGTTATTTTGATAGTGTTACATGTGGTTCCGTCCTACACAGATGTCTTTATGGTCAGCTGAACACAGCATCAGGAACACAGGAGGATGGAGATATGGGTCTTTTGGTCTGCTCTGCTCCCACCTGAGGTTTGTATTTTGAGTCAGCCGGAAAGTATGTTTCCATGTTGAGCTGCCACCGTTTTGACAGCTGAAGCACTAAATCCTCTCCTGGCCTTCGCAAATGTCTACAGCTCCAGTAGTTCTTTGAAGCAAAATCTTCTGAGTATTTCTTTAAGTGACACTTAGAAAGTGCCCTGGACCTTGGTGAGATTAGGTAAAATGTACCTAAAACCGCTGTCCAGCCAGCAATTGGATTTTGATTAGGATATCCTCTGCCCTGTCCGATTTTGTTGTCTCCCTCTCCCATTGAATGCATCAATGTACAGAGGAGGTCCCCAAGCCAGGGAGCCAGCTGCAGCTCAGGAAGTCTCTCCAGCTGTGACCTCTGCCGAACCACTTCTTCACATCCATTCGGTGAAGTTTGCAGAACTGGTCCGGCCTGTAAGCCAGATCCTGCGGTCTGCACCAGACCCACAGTCAGGACAGCTTACAGTGGCTCTGCTGCTACCAGGTTGCTCATGCTGGGCCCTCTGATACAACAAGAGTGGACAGGAGTGAGAGTGATGTACTTAGAGAGGGTGTGAAAAGGGGTGCCTTGAGTACTTGTGTCTGAAGTGATAATAACGTGCTCAGCAGATCAGGATAGACAGCTCTATCTGTATTTTCATTGATGGGTTTGCAAGGGTAGCACTACAGAGTCCTTGTTTGCTGCTACTCCTCCTCATCTGCTTGCTCCTTACATTCATCCTCTGGTCCTTTTCTGTTACCTGTAAATAGACAGCGAATAAAGATGCAAATACTTTAACAGACCTTGATGATATCTAAGAAATTCAAGATCTCTCCAATAAAGACATCTAAAATCAAAACAATGGGACTCAGAGGACTGTTGACCACCAGCCAGATCAGATGCAGAAGCACCAGCAGACTGCTGCCTGGGTGACAAACAGGATGTTCATAATGTCCAAGATGCCCATGCACGCAGTGGTGTCAGCTTCTGAGCTGGGCACCGCGGGCTGCCCACTGATATCCAGGATCAGCCCAGGTCAGGGTATGAGTAAGGCTGCTAATATTTAGTCACAAAAGGAGGATATTTTCCCCCTTGAAGATCTAGAGACATGAGCAAACACTTGACATCGTCGGGGTTGATATTGGCCCTGGAGCCTCCCCTGGTGCCGAGTGGGAGATGCCATGGCTGGGGTGCTGCACAGGGGAAGAGGTGTAAGGAAGCCCAGACTCCTGAAAGCATGCATGGGTCATGAAAGAGGACTCCTTGCTTGCACTTCTGCAGCATTTTGGGGTTAAACTATCAGGGCAGGAAGAGCTGAAGCGCGCTGTTTTTCGGTGACAGGTCATTCAGGTCAGTGGGATGACTTGGGGAGCACAGACTGGTCAGGGAGTGGAGTAGGGCTGCTGATTCCCAGTGCCCTGCATGCACGGGCCCCGTGCCACGGCCACTGGGCTACGCTGTGCCCAAGGCTGTAAAACACCCCCAGCAGCACAAAGCAAACAGACCGAGTACAAAGCCACAAAAACCCAAAGGTGAAAGATAAGCTCTTGGGTCAATAATGCACTGGGCTTGGGCCAGCTCTCCCAGCGCTGCGCAGGGCTGAGCCTCCAAGGGACAGGGACTCACCAATGCTTCACTTCTGCTTATCCTGCCATTGGGGAGGCTGGCTCTGGCAGGGATGGACTCTGCTGCAGCCAGTGTGGTTTGGGGACAGCGGAAGAAGGAAGGACCTATGTCCCTGGGATGGAAAGGGACACTGGAGACCATCAGAGCTGTGCTCTGGAGGTGTTAGAGCGTGCAGGCTTGTAGCTGCCCACCATGGGAGAAGGTGGGACAGGGAGGAGAAAGAAATCCCATGGAGCCCTGCCAAGGCACACACCACAAGTGGGAGGTTTTCCCTCTGGTAGTTGGGCCTGGCTGATGGCTTCTTGATGGGAACAGGGGAAATTTAAACCTTGTGCACCACCTCCCCACAAGCATTCTGCTGGGGAACGGTGCTTGCCCTGCCTGGACCCACGTGAGATGGGTGACTATCAGAGAGCACAGACAAACAGGAGAGGGGAAAATGTGCAAGCAGGAGTATCCCACAGGAATGCAGGATCCTGGGATCTTCAGGATCCCGGCAGTGCAATGCTGGGACTGACCCAGAGCTGGTATGTGGTGGGTGCACTGGAGGCCTCTGCTCCTCCGTGGAGCTGGATATGACCTCATCAGTGCATGCCAGGATGTCTGGGTACAGGGCTGACAGAACTTTCCTGGATGTGTAAACATCATCCTCCACCCTTCATCACCTAAAAAATTTCCCCTGGCCTTGTGCTGCCAATGTGCACTGGCTTATCCAGTGTCAGGAGCAGGCAGAGACTTTTCCCCCCAAAAACCATCACTGCAGAGCGGTCTGACCCACAGACCCAGGAGGGACAAGTGGTGACGGGGACCTTGCACCTGTTTCCCACTGGGTTCCCTGGGCGATGCCACCAGCTCCCTGGGTGTTGTCCCTGAGCGACGCACCCAGGCATGCACCCAGCAAGTGATAGATGTTGAATGGTGACAAAGCCCTCAGCCAAGATCTGCAGGCTGGATTGAACAGGCTTAGCATTAGCAATTAAAAATCTCAGAGCAAATAAAGGAGGGTGTTGGTTACTGCTGCCCTTCCTTATATACAGCTGCAGTATCCAACTAATGCTTGTTACAGGCTCTTATCTGGAGATGCATCAAGGAAATTCTTGCAGGAGGTAGTCCCAAGGGCACATGGGTGGAAAAGCACCCTGAGACCTGGTGGTGGAGGGTAAAGCTGAACTCCTGGTCCAGGCATCCTGGTAGCTGTAGGGCTGTAAAACACCATGACTCACACTGCAGCGTCCATGCTCCCGGGAGAGTCGAGAAAACTTCCTGGATGCCTCTTGCAGTCACTGACAACAAGACAAGAAATAAAGAGAAATCAGTAAATAATAATAAAAAAGTGTTTCTCACTGGTTGTGAGAGGCTTTATAAACTAACTGTGCAAGGATATCTCTCTCTGATGACTCGTGGCTGGGAATCATGTCGGTATGGCAATCTTCCTGCGTTATGCACCCGGAGGTGTATGCCTGGGAGCACTGGCCTAGGTGAGATGCCAAAACTGCAGAGAGGTGAGTCTGGTCTCAGCTCTGACACTCACCCACGTGCTAGTGGGGGACATCTCCCCCATCTCTGCCTTCTCTTTGTCTCATGTACTGTTATAAAACCATGAACTCCTTGGGGCAAGGCTTGGCTCTTGGTACGTGGGTGCACTCCTGGCTTCTGGCTGGGGCATCCATTTACTGTCATCATCCTTTGGTAATGTACTGTACAGCTCTGAGCACTGTGGGACTGCTTGTTAATTAACTCTGGCTAATTGGGTCCACCAGCCCAGCCAGCACGCTAATGGAGAGGAACATCCCCTTGGGTTGCTGAGAAGGAGGTAGGATGCCGTCTGTGCAGTGGTGCTCTCCCAACACACGGACATTTCCACCTCTGTTAAGCTTTGCAATGGTGTTGCTGCTCATACTTGAGGCCAAAACCAAGCCCTTTGCAACAGGTCTTTGCTGACCTGGATGTTTCCATGTCACCACCAACTCCTTGATGAAATACAGGGGCGGATGCTCAATGTGTGAGTCCTCCCGCTCATGTGCTGTAGAACCAGGCTGCAGAACCCAGGCAAGGTCCAAGCTGCCTGATCTTTCTGCCCCTTGGGCGACTGCCAAACAAACCAGGCATGTTCTAGACCAGCCTGAGCTTAAGAAAGCATAATCTCAAAGCCAGTGTTCAAACATGGCACGTTGAACTTTGTTTCCCTATGTTCAGCATTTGTCACCAGGCTGTGTACAGGGCATCATACCAGTGCCCTGGTGACACAAACTTTGCTTGGTTTTTCGCTGTTCCCCATTACGTTGCTGGAAATATGTTCCCCGCTGGCACAACCCTCCCAACCCGGGCAGCCCAGCAGTGCACACTGGTGTGATGGGGGTATGCCCAACGAGCAACCAGGTTTGCTCAGTCACACGCCATTTACACAGAGGTTTCGATGTTAAGCGACAGCCAAGATCTGGATTATTCTTGCTGACTTTCTCTGTTTGCCCAGGCTGTATCGCTGGGAGACTGCTCTGCTAATGAAAGCTGTCACGAGAGAGCAGCGGCTGTCCAGGACCTGCAACTCACAGCAATGTCTGATGAGAAGAGCTGAGGAAATAAACCCCAGACACTAGCCACCTCATTCAGACAGGCTCATCTCGTCAAAATTCGTGTCTATCATTAATCCGTTCTGGAGCATTTTAAGAGCTAACGTTACTCCTGAAGAGTGGATGTCACCAGCAGGAAGGTCTGGCTGCCCTGCCAAGACCTCTGCATTCCCCAATGCTAGCAAAGAACCCCTGTGCATGCTGAGCTGTAGGTACCTTTCCCCTGAGGGTCCAGCTGGCTGGTCGATGCTCTGGGGACTGGCAGGCCCTTCCTTGTGGTCTTTTCGGATGCTCCTCACCAACCGGATGATACTTTGAAGCTTCCCAGCATGTGACGGTGCTCCTCCAAGTGCAAGTTTCCATTTCGGCTTTGCCAGAACTGCAGGTTAGTTAAAGCCTAGCTCCCTAAACGGGACCTCGATGTTCAGTGTGTACCAGAAGACCCAGAAGACAAGGCTGGAGGCTAGCAGCAGAGCTCCCAAGTAAATGAAGAAGTCCCATGAGCTTAGCGGAGCAAAAATTCCCAGGAGGAGGGTGATCAGCCCAATCACATCGCACAGTACAGCCAAGAAGAGTATCACAGCACAGCGGCCGAGAAGCTCGAAGAAGGCCATGCTGGCCCCCCCAGCAGAGCCCCTCAGGGTGGGGGGGGAGGGGCCAGCAGCATCCCCGCAGTCTCTCCCTCGCTGCCTCTGCTCGCTGGCTGCCAGGAGGAAGTACAAATGTCACAACACACCTTGCAGAACAATCGGGAGGGAGCACACGATACTGCTTTAACTGTTTCATGGCCCTGCCATCGCCCTGCCTCTGCCTGTGCCGGAGCGGATCCCAGGGCTACGTTTCTCCGCACGGCGTGTGTGAGCTCTCCAGGGAAGGGACATGCTGCCGGGATACCCTGTGATCGGTCTGGGTGTAGGTGCACCACACCCAGCCTGCCTATAAGGTGCAAGTCTGGTCCTGACCCATCCCTCAGAAGGACTACGCCCCTTCCATTTGGGAACTGGGGTTTAATGTGTCACTTTTGGGCAGCATCTGCCATGCAAGGATCCTAGCAAAGTCTGCAGGACACTGGCTCTGATGTCCTGGTGACAGCCTGGAAACATTGCACTGTTCCCCTCTTTTAACAGGTAAACTGAGGCACGGGAATTTGTCCAGACAGTCAAAAATACATCATCCTTGCAACACCTCTGAAAAGCAAGTCTTGCTGGAAAACCACACATCAGACAACTTGTGCCACTGCCCATCCCAAAAATGGGAACCAAGCAAGTTAGTGATAAATCACCAAACAAGGCAGAATTTTCCAGGGCTCCTGGCTTGTCTCTGAGTAGCCAGTGTTGCTCTGTGGGATCCAGGACTGCTGCTTTCTGCTCCCAGGTTGCTGTGTGGCACTGGGCACATCTTTCCTCTCCTGTCTCTCTGGTCTGTTCATGTTTGGCAAACAGGGAAGGTCTGGGGGAGGTGGAGCATCCAGGGAGTCCTTGGTTCTGGGAAAGCCATCCCAAGACACAAGTACTGCATGGTCTGTGGGCTGGCAACTGCCTGCCCCATCTCTTGGCCACGTAGAGGATGCCAAACCTTGACACAGGACCATTGGGCACAAGGTCAGCAGCAGGGACTGGAGCAGTGCCCAGCTGCAGGTACCTGCTGGAGATGGTCTTAGCTCCAGGGGATGCCAGCGGTAGCACCAGGAGTGTCCTCCCCCATCTCCTTGCCAAACCCAGGACACACAGAGACCATCTGCCACCCGGGCAGCTCCACCACCACTCTGCCATGAGCGGGGTGATGGCTGGAGAGAACGGGGGTCATTACTTACCTTGTCTGAGTGTTTTCTCTGCTGCCCAGGGAATCCCAGGTGCTAAAAGTCACCGTGCTCCTGCCTGCCACCCACAGTGTGCATCTCACAAATGACAAGAACACGGTAGAGGAGCCTGCCCTGCACAGCCCCACGGTCCTCTCTCCTAACGTTATCCAGGCTGCTGCTTGCAAACACACGGCAGACAACTCTGTGCAAACCATCTATTCCACTGCGTGCTGTTCTCTCCCAATCACAAGGGTCTGCCTGTTCCAGGAGATATGTTTTTCTCCCCCATGTCTGAACAATTATGGCTTTTAAATACACAAATAAGTAACTAATCTCTTCTTTGTGCATTGTCACCCTCCGGGTCCTGGGGGAGAATCTGCTCTTTGCCAGCCCAGATCAGCCCTGGCTTAATTACCAGCAGGCTGGAGGGAAGTGCTGGGGCGCAGCTGCTTTCAGGATCCGATCACACCATTTGCAGGAAACATGCTCTGAAATCTGCCTTGATGAGTGCTCAGCCGAGAAAATCCCTCACTCTCAAATCCAGCCTTCAGTTCCTAGTGATCTTCTCAGCACCTGCAGCCTCCCGAGGACCCAAGCTGGGGAGTCACTGCTCAGCAGCCAGAGCTTCCCCAGCCCCTGAGCCTTGGGTTCAGGCTGGGCTTGCCTGGACACCGGTGGATATGCCCTTACCCCTGCCCTGCCACAGGCTCAGAGCTCAGAGCTCAGAGCTGAGCACCTGGCTTGCTGTTGGGCAGCCCGTTGGGTGGGTACCTTTGTCTGTAGTCTGCTTTCAATGGGCTACAGTGGTTATGGAGGTGGATGGAGGATGGAAAAAGATGTTTGCAGCTCTTTGCACCTCAGTTCAGCCACGTTTTTATGAACCCACTTGAGGCTTAGTGATGGTGATGATGGAGCTTCTCCAGCCAGTTTTTGATGAGCCCAAGGCCCATCACCCTCTGAAAGGAAGGCACTTTTCTCTGTCCCCTCTTGCTCCCACAGCTGTATCCAGTTCCTGTCTTCTTTGTTTTTTTCTGACTCTTTATCTTCTGTTTGCTGAATTTCGGGGAGTTCTTCCAGGTAACAAGGCAGTCAGTTTTTATTGTAGTGGGAGAACCCCGGAAGATTTCTCAAGACTTTTCTGTCCTTTCTAGCCTGATCTCTGATCCTGATAGACACTAGCCACATGGAGAAGAGTGGAAATCACTCCAGGAATCCCCTTCAGACCAGTGACACCGTCCAAATGCAAGCAGTTCAAAGATGGGTCTGATGTAAGGACCTCAGGTCAGTCCAGGCCTGTCCAGCCCCACACTGCAAAAGGTTTGTGCAGTCTTGATCTCACCAGACTAGACAAAAAAGTCTTCTCCTGGGCTGCATCCCATGGCTGGGGCAGCCCTGGGGTGAAAAAGAGAGCAATAAAACTTACAGAGGTTGTTGCAATGTAGAAGCTTGGAAAAGCTGTGGCAACTCCTGCTCCTCTAGAGGAGACACTGTGTGGTGGGATGGCCTGTCCCATACATCGGATGTACCTCCAGGAGAGCTCTGGGACCAGGGCAGTATTTACCACTGCAGACAAGGCTTCCTTCAGGCTTCCTTCCACTGCAGCCTCAAGCTTTCGCGAGCCAGATGTTGCAAGGTGAGCACCCTGTATTGCCTTTCAGGAGGACATCAGAAACCCAGCTTGGGTTTTCTCTGTAGGAGGCAGGGTTTTCATCTGGATACTTTTCAGTGGTGCTGAACCCTGCCAAGCAGTGTGTGAGACCAGCAACTTGCCCATGATAGCATGAAAGGAAATGTGACATGGTAAATAAAGTCACCCCCTGGGTTGGAAAGGAACCCAAAGGTTTCCAGAAGTTCATTCATCTCCAGTTAATGGATTAGAAAACTGAAAACAGCTGCATTTTGCTCCAAAAACACTTGAAAAAGAGCAGAAAATGCTGCCTATCTCTTCTGTCTTCTTCTAGACTATTTCTGCCGCAGCTGGAAAGATGATGTTAGAGGAAAACACTTGTTCTTGGAGCTGGCCCAGAACAGGTTTGGAGAAGTACGTGGCAAGAGTGAACCAGTTCTTTGCAGGGAACAATGAATATTGCTTCCTCCAGTTACACATTAGTTGGGAGCAGCAAGAATTTGAGCAGGCGAATGGAAGTGGTCTGACAAAATCTTTGGCTAGTGGGAGTCAGTCAATATTTACTTAACTGTAGCATGTGGAGACAAACCCCGGAAGGAGCCTTCAAAAAATGTGTTCTGTGCTGAAACCCAAGTAATTCCTTGCAGCATGGGCCAAGCTTTTATGAAATATCTACCTGAAGAAGAGGAGAAAACGGATGGGCAGCACAGTGCTGCTTGACCGAGCAGCCCGGGGACGATTCACGCACGGTGATCTCCAGCCGCAGCTCCATGGCTCAGTGCTGGCTGTGCCTGTGATGCTGAATGGCGCAAGCTGATGTAAATGCAGGGGCTGCAGATGACCTCAGCTTTGGCAGGGGTGTGCAAGCTCCCTTCTGTGGCACAAGGTGACTGGTTTCCTTCAAGGGCTAGCAGCTCCATGCAGGGTCAGAGCATTTTTGGATTGGGTGTCAGCTGTGGGACTCTTGGCTGCAGGAGCGAAGCAGCTCGCCGAGTGCTCTCCTCCCAAGTCTGGGTGTAGGAAGAGCTTCCTTGACCAAATGAAAGCTCAGAGCAATTTATATTGAACTCTCAGGACATCTCCCTGGGGAAGAATGGTAAAAACAGCACACCCCTCCCCTCTCACGAAAGACACTGATTGATAGACACTGCGTGGTTGTACCCCTTCGTACATCTGGGAAAGGAGCCCAGACATCATGGCTAGACAGAAATAGCACTGAATTTGGAAAGGCCCCCTCCCCCAGCGCTCCTTCCTTGCTGAGCCCTGGCTGGTGATGCTGATCCCCTGGAAAGCATCCCACAGAGGATAACACTGCAAGGCATCCCAGCACATGGCAGGTTCACACACGCTCCCCTCTGCTGAAAGAAACTCCTGCACTTTGTAGGGCCCTTCACATCCCCGACCAGGGGCAGCTCAGCCCACCCACACCACAGCACAGAGGGGGTCCAGCACCCCCTGCCCAACTCTGTGCTGTGACCACCATTGAGCTCTGGCTGGCACACGGTTTTGGTGGGTACAGAGCTATTGAAAGCTTTTCTGCAAGATCTGCAAATGCTCCCCAGGAGCAGCCAGCAGCCCAAGATGTTCCTGTGCAGTCCCTGCTGCGAGAGCTGTGCGGCGGGAGTGGGGGAGCTCAGTGCTGGGGTCTGACCTGCCCGGCAGCATCCACCGGTGCTGGCAAGAACTGCTGTTAAACCATTGCAACAGATTTAGCAGGCGAGAGCTGGCTCAGACTCGCACCTGCACCGTGAGCAGCCCCAGGGCTGGTGGGTGCTCCCAGCAGCCGTGCCCCGGGGACAGCTTCTCCTCCTATGACCTGATGCAATCGGCCGTGCGTGCTGCCTGCCTTGGGCAGCAGCTCCTTCCCCGGCACGAGCGACCAGCAAACAGAGGTGTCGAGAGGAGGTCGGTACAGCTGAGGACTGTGCTGGCAGTGCTGGTTATACTGGCCTGTGACTTCCAGCCACCCCTTCCCTACGCTGGAGTTCAAAGACCTGGGTTCAGGCTGCACTCGGGGACGGAAGGCAAGCGGGGATGGCAGGCATGCAGAGCTGGAAGCGGGGTTGCTGCCTTATTCCTGCCCCAGGCACTGTGCAAAATTCAGCGTAATCCACGGGCACACCAGCCCAATGTGGGAGCCTGAGGGCTAGTTCAGGCACGGGGGGTGCAGACCCCAAGATTGACAC